TAAGAAATTTAATATAAAATATTGAATAAAATAAATTCATTTTTCTTGATTGAATAAAAGAGAATTATAAACATTGTATATACTTAATATTGCGGTTTTACTAGCAAATTAAACGAAAATAAGAGAGCTAAAGCTTACAACTTGGAAGGGATGTGTGCATTGTGTAATCTAATTCGACGTCCATAGAGTGGGCCTCGAGACCACTTTGTAGCTTCATTACAGGCCTACGAGACCAGTAAATAAGCGGCCGACCTCATCCCTTCACCATGCCAGAAGCAAGAGAAGAACATATAGAAACAATGGCGTCATTTTTGTTTTTCCAGAATAAAATCTATTAATTTCCCATAATATTATTTTCTCTGATAAAGAGATAATAATTCTACTACCAATTATACATTGTACAGAAACAATATATAATAACTTGTACAGAAACAATATACTGTTTTACGATAACATTTGCTTTTTCTTATTCAACAAATTTGGGTTTTAGCGCCTTTTTTTTATTTTGGCATGCATGCATTATTTTGTTGGGGTTGTAATGGACCTACATGGGCACGAAATATAAGGTTTTAACAATAGATCTGATAAAAGAAAAATCATTTAACAATTTGAGAAAGGGGTTTCTCTTGTAATTTTGAAGAAGTTTTGACAAAAACACACTCTTGTTATATTATTGTGCCATATGAGGCCACATATGCCTACTGCCTACAAGGTGGGAGATAGTCTTGGAGATTAATATACATGTAGTTCTTAGAATGCCATTCTACGGAGTTAAACCTTCATGAAATTTTAGAGATGAAGTGGATGTAATTAATTAAACAAATTAACCCCAACCCCAGATATAGATACATATTATGGACACCCTAGCTTGTTAGGCTACCTTAATTTGTACTTTGTTCTGGAATGTGTAACAGGAATGGTGAGTAAGGGGGTTACTGAAAAGATCTAGGGGATTTAGTGACATGGTGCCAAGTATAGAAAGCTTGCAGGCCCAAAGTGTGCATCATCAACATATATGGTCTTTAGTGGTGGATTGGATCTGGTTTAACATTAAAGGAAAGATAGGCTGAGATGAATGTAAGGCTCTGTTGCCTGAAGGATAATTTAATCTGCGAGCCTGGGGTGTGTGTTGCTGCTGGTAATCAGTTTGACAGAAGTGGGAATGTCTGCTGCTGCTGGTTATCTGGTTGATAGAATGTGGCTCCTGATGACTAAAAGTTAAAAGCGGGTTGTGAACACTCAGAAACACCTCTTGGATTCATAGGCTACTGCGAGTGACATCTGCTTGGCTGATTGACAGTAAAAGAAAGTCTTAAAGCAAGGTAGTTAAGTTTGCGGCCGAGCTGCTTGAGATGCTGCAAATGGAAATTGAATGTTATGATGGCATGCCACGTTCTGCGGCCGAGCTGGTGGGAGAAGCTGATTGTAAATAGCTTCAGGGTGCAATTTATGGCTCTGCTATGTGCCTCTGTGCTTTGCGAGTTAGGCAGAGAATTTCTGTGTATCGATTGTTTTTACTTTTGTGATGTGCTACTGTAAGTCCACACATGAAGCTATGCTATGGTAGTGGGGATCTGGTATTGCCCTTTTCCGCTTGGATATAATAAAGCAGAGGATAAGGAAAGCTAGCTAAAATGTACACAAAGAAGAACTTATTTATGCACGGATGATTAATTGAATATAATTTAATTATTGAATGACATGAAACTGATCATAACAAGATCAGTGAATGCACTTGAACACTCAATAACCAATACGGTTCAGTGTCATAGTGCCTACACACCTTATACACGCCATAAAACGAACAAGCAGCCCCTTACAGACACAGTGACAGTACAATCATCTGAAGCTTCTCAATACCTAATTAGAGATCAAACATAACCATTCACACAGTATCATAAATTACGTTCTTTTGTTTAAGTATGCGATAGTCTGTGCGGTACTTGAGTGAACGTTTCCATACAAATTAACTAATACTCGATTATATCTTACCCAACAATAATAACAACAACAAATCAAATTAAGAGAACCCGCATCAAAATAAAAAAAATACCGAATGTAACATATGCAATCACTAAGTCATAACAAAAATATTTTATTAATATAAAATTAACTACAAAGTGACAATCGGGCTATAGGGGCAATCCTAAATGATTCGCTATAAACATACCTTTACCAATGAGGTAGTCCAACAATCCGTCGACTGTTCATCCCCTATAAAGAGTTCATGAGATTTTACGAGTATTCTACTAATAGCTATTACAACGTTTAAAATGAAGACATTTCTTTCCTAAAGAGTCTTTTCCCTTAAAGACTTAATAAGTATTTGTGAATGTGTTATCACGTGCCATTACATTATTTGAAAAAGGATATTTTTCTTACCGATATAAAAGACTCAATCTTATAAACAACTATATCCTATCATAGTCTGATATAAAATTGATTCACGACACACAACATATTACACCAAACTATAACAACCCTTGCTAGAACTCTATCCCTGAACTGCACAGAACAACTCGAAAACTACCAGCTGCAGAAATACATAAACACCAGAATAAATGCCAGTAGCATAACAAATAGCTGGATCAAAAATAAACAAGACCCTACGATTACCTCAACGGATTCATAATAATTGAACAGAGTTCTGCAGAATTGAAATAAGCCTACATCCGTAGTATATACAGAAACATAACAATTACTTGACTTGAGCTTGTCTTTTTGTAATTTTCGTATATTTCGCAAACTTATAAAAACATGCTTAGTTATGATCATATTGATTCTTTTTTTCTTTTTTGGAGGAGATCCTTTATACTGTTATCAAAAGATCACCTAATTCCCAAGGCCTAAAGCAGTACAAAGTACTACTATAAACTATAGAAAAAGGAAATCTTGAACTTTAATTTATAAAACTTAATACCTTAAAGCTGTAAATAAATTTCAGATAATCAAACACATTGTTTATTATTATTATTATTATTATTATTATTATTATTATAGCATGCAAACTTTGTTATAAACTGCTTGGTGCAGTGCACTATTTAATGTTGGCGATTATAGAATTTTAATTAAAACATATAACATTTATATTGAAGAAAATTTCAACATATATATTATTTATTTCTCCATTTTTCCTTCTTTTCTTTTTTTTTCTCTCCAATTTTGTCTTGATTATTTTCTTCATTTCTCCCTAGAACATTGTCAAATGAATTCGATAAGATCATTTAAAGAAATTAAAAGGAGCGGTTTAATAACCACTTGTGATGAAATTCTTCAATTCAAGTAATGCAACCCTACAACATTAATATGCACCAAATTAGAGGTTATACACTTATTTGATCAGCTGCGCTGTATTATACCAAATTAGAGGTTATAAACTCATTTGATTAGTTACGTTAGGGGATTTGAATTTTGCTTTTTAAGTAAATGATCATGTATCAAGTAATGAATCAAATATTTAAATGTAATATAGAAAATTTTTTATTTCATATATATATATAAAGAGAGCTTTTAGAATTTATTTTTCGTATATATGCATATAGGAGGAGGTTTTATTTCTCTTCTAATTGTTATTTCTTAACCCCACTCATATGGGTCAAAAAGAATATTAAATTCCTATGTATTAATTGGCCCAAAGTTTTTTTATCGGCTTGGATTAGATCACACTTGGGTCAGAACCTTAGCAATTGAATTTTGTCCAGTGATCTGTAATAGTGATGGGAAAAATTTTCCGTTAGGTCTGATATAATTGTATATCTTTTTAGGAAAAAGAGATTCGATTCGTGTTTTTTAAGTAAAAAAAAAATATTAATTAATAAATTAAATATTGAGGTGTATATCTTTTTTTAACTATGCTTTATAACTCTTTTCATCATGCATTTGTTAGCTCTAAGTCAATCATTGGGTCAGATTCTATGGTTGTATTATCATGAGTGATCAGACGCCATGGAACAAATGGTATATGTTCAATGAGATTATACGTTGCAACAATCACTTGGTACTGTTTCTTTTGTGCATGTTTTGCGTGAAGGAAACTCATTGACTCCCTTGCGAAATTTGGGGTGGACAAAAATTTTATGTTCTCTGCCTGGTGGTAACTGCACCCTTTTGAGCCCTCGGTTTGGGACATTTACTGCTCTTTATGCCTTTCATAACTCAGCACAGTTCCATTTATGCTGCCGGATCCACATTTCACCAGTGGTTCATTGTTATGTTTTTTAAGTCGGCTTTATGCCCCATGGCTCATGGTGCTGTTATTTTCTTACGTATAGAGTTTTGTCTTGAACCTTTGGATCCCCTACTCGGTTAGATCCTCCACTGATGTAACTTGGCTTTTTTGGGAAGATACCACTCGGTGCAGCCTTGAAAAATTGGTGAGCTAAAATGTCACCTTTTAGGTATTGAGGAGTGGACCAAAAGCCATGGTAGGGTTGTTGAAGAGAATCAAGCTGGCCATCTTCTTTGGGGAGGTTTAGTATTGTCTCTTTTTATTCTTTCCTCGGTTCCTGGAGAGGCAACATCTGGATTGTTTATTAGGGATGTAATGAACTAAGCCTGTGAGTACTGAGTAGTGACGTCCGACTCGAAAGGATAGCCTGGTGAGTCGACTTCTCCTCAAACATGGAAAAGAAGGAAAAGAGTCAAATGCAAAAATTTCATTTTTATTCTTTTTTTTCAAAATCAATTTTTTCGTTCATAATCTTTCAAAATATTCCAAATTTATTTTCGTATGTTCAAAATCAACAAAAAAATCCGCCATCATTTGCTTTCCTTATTGGCGTGCACCCAAGACACGAAAAGGAAAAGGTCGGTGCGCGGCTCTATCGTTTCATGGACCCTAGCCACGTCCGTCGTTATAGACTAATGTTTAATTCTCAGTGGATGTGGACATTAATTACATTTTGTGTTTGTTTAATTTAAAAATTTTTAAATTTATTTTTTGAACACTTTCAATATTTTTAATTGACTCATGTTAACATAGTGTATCAAATATAAATTCATTAAATAAAAACGAAAAAGAAGAGATATTAATGCAAATTTAGGCCGTGGAATAGCATAGAAAGCTTACTTTGAGACGAGTAGGTGCTACTCAACACAATGACAGATTTTCAATGATACATTGAAAATGCAGCAAGCAAACAATCAAACCATAACTTAATTTGCTCTTCAAGGCTACGTCCTGCAGCATTATGATCACTTATTTTATATATTTTTACCCCAAGCTACCTATGACAGTGAGCTTGCTTCTCTCTCTCTCTAACATGAGATTTGGAAGGACAAACCAGTTCCAGCAAACTTTTGCTCCATCATCTTGTCCAAACGCTCTGCCATCTCTGGTGTAAGATACTCCTTCCAATCCCCAATCTTGCCTTTCCTGAATAGGAACTGTTTTCAACTTTGACTTCATGTGGCTTCCTTAATCCGGACTTATTTACGTCCAAGCTGCTCATATTCTCGAAACTACACATATCTACGATTCTCTGCACTGCCCCTGCTTCTTCTTCCTCTAAGGAGAAAGGGTACCCCATAAACTCAGCCAATCTCTTTACGTAGGGCGCAGTGTCTTTCATTATATCTTCATATTTCAGGAACAACACCTTCCCCGGCCTTGCTTGACTTGCTTTCCAGAACCCTAAAACATGGTCCAAATAGGTCCATAAAAGGACTTCCCTTGACAGAAAAGATCAAAAGCCTCCCCCAGGGAAACGAACTCATCTTTCTTGGGAGCGCGCTTGGCCAGAAAATGATAGAGGGAAACAAATGCGTCCTTTGGCTCCCTACAAATGTAAACAACTTTGCAATCAGAATCCAAGATGGATTTTGGCAGGGCAGTGTATGGTGTGTGGGTGCCTATGAGAGGGACCCCTGGCTCGCGGCTATCTGGCTCCTTGTGAATTTGGCTAAGGTGGGAATGCAATCATGGGAGATCTTGCTGAGCAAAGGGCTCGTGGAAGTGTCATAGCGGTTTCTGGTAACAATGGCAAAGGTCAGGGCCTTAAGCCAAGTGGTTCCACTTTTGGGCGCACTGCAGACAAAGATGTCATTTGGTTCAGCCTTGAAGCCTTCTTGAGATAAGATTATATCTTCTAGGAAGTTAGGGCTGCACCAAAACCCTTGGTACTGGCTGAGAGTATGTCCAGATTTCCAGCCATCAATTTGATGGAGGTCGGCTATTGTTTCTTTGATTTTTTCCATTTGTTTTTCTTTATAGATACTTTCTAACAGACTTGAAAGGAGGAAAAAGGCCCAGCAGAGTAGAAAGTAGTCTAGTTTGGAGAATATTATGCCCTGTGATCCGACCTTTGTATTATATACAGAGCGAAAAAAATCAGATAGTTTATATATATATATATATATATATTATGTAATTAAAATATTGAACGATTGATTGTTATCTATTCTGTAAATAACAAATAAGCCCTTGAATCATTTTCATTGATAGTTTGGGCAAACATGTCATCTCATCAGTCATTGTTGACATTAATTCTGTACACAAAGCTCATGAATTTGAAGCGCAGATGTCATTATTTCCATGCATTTCTTTTTAGATACTTGTATTTTGTTTTCATTTTATTGAGTTGTATTCAATATTTTTGAGAGATTGATTGTGTTTTAGAATTTATTAAAAACGACTACTAATACTGATACTACTGTTTTTTAAATTAATAATTTGAAAATAAAAAATTATATCCCTAATCTTAGTGCATATAGAATTAATAAAATTAGATGTACCATACATATCTCCTTTAATATTTCTATTATTTATTGCATTTCCAACTATTTGTTATCAAAATAATAGGATGAAAATAAAGAAATGTAAACGGACAATCAAAATGTGATAGCATCGTTCTTATGTTATTATAAGATAACATATATAATATGTAATTTGATAACAAAACGGATGTAACAACGATAATAATGAGCAATAGTGTTTTTTTTTCATATGTAATGTAACGAGTTTTATTGTATTTATTAATTTTTTTATTATTTTGATGTATTTTTTATAATTATAATTATTTTTATTTAATAATTTGAATTGTGAAATTTTGTAAGCTACTTGCTATTAATACCATGGGCTTGATTGGAAAAACAACAGTGCTTTTATCTTATTTAAAGATAACAAGTAAGTATCCTAGGTATTTTAACTTCAAGCAAGAGGGTTCCGAATTTCCTCTTCGGGCCACGAGATCTGCTGTGATTATTAACAATGGCAGAAACGCACAAGGGCGATGGGCAGCCTCAACCACAAAAAGCAAGCAATAAAGCATGGCACATCACATCGGTAATAATAGAGACAACAGTACACCACTTGCCCAGAAAAAATGTCATTGGCAGCATTGGCAGCAGACAATAAAATAGTCCAATTTTAATATTAGATTGTGGGTGGCAAAGCAAAAGTAGTTTTATGTACATGATTCAATCTTATCCCGATGATAAAAAGTAGGTCATGAATTCTTATTAGAAGGCTTCAAATTCAATTAACTTTGATCAATTGATTATTTTCTTGGTTGAATTTATTCTAGATTATGGTACTTTCTTGATTTTTCTTTACTTAAGAAAAGAATTTATGAAACATATGTGAAGATTGTTAGATTATAATTGTAACTTATTTGATCATTTAATTATTAAAAAAATTTTATCCATGCAAAATCAGTCATCTGTTTTTTTTCATTTCGTTACGATCGAGTAGCAAAGAAGAGAATAGGACGTGGACCACATGTGAAAATGAGTGAGGAAGCAACTCAATTCATGTTAAAAACCAACACTAATTATTAATAATAAGTTATAGTAAGTTATTTATTAATATTCCAGCAGTGGTAGCTACCTCCAGTATTGGTAGAACTGTAAAAGGTTTTTTCCGAAGGAGCACCATGACTCTTTTGAAAACACATGGTTGATTAAGAGGGACTCTGGTTGGAGACTTAATACTCTCCTTTGATTTCTTTATCGTGTTCTGCTGGGTTTGTGCATCCATTACAGGCTTCGGAAACAAGGGTTTCATTGAGTGTCAAAGTTGATACAGTGCCAAATTTCCCATCACCAAGTTATTTCCGAGTACGAAACAAACCTATTCTTTCTCTCACTTAAAGCTAGTCATGAAACCGAACTATATTAGCTTTGTTCTTCTCTCACTTGAACCAAGTCGTCCTGAAATGGGTATTCTTCTTCTTTCAAATCAAAACGCGTCGTAGTGTGGGGTAATGGAGGTTAGTATTCGTGAGCGACGACTTACGCCGATAAAGGTGTAGGTGTATTATGGAGTGTTGTCTCAGTCTCGTGTCTTGCTGCCTGTCGTGTGGATTATCACCTCTGATCCTTTGTTCTTTCTATATATATGTGAACCGGTATCTGGATAAAGATTTTTTTAAAGAAAGATTTCAATTAATAGGTGGAAAATCAACACAATTCCTACACTTAATTGGCAATAAAACTTACACAAACTTAGATGTTTCAACAATAAGCTGAAAAAAATCCCAGCAACACACTTACGGTTACAGGCTTAGTTCAACTGCAACCGACAATTATTATGCATGATTAACACTAAAACCTTGAATGACTACCGCATGCGTAGCTAGATGATATGGCTTTGGCTGATGCTCAGGAGCCACATTGAAGTTCGAAAGTCAAACCGGATCCACTCAGTTTCTGCTCCAGTATCTTGTCCAGACGCTGCCATCTCAGGAGTAAGACAGTTCTGCCAATCTCCAACCTTTCCTTTCCTAAAGAAACTTTTGTTTGTTGCCTCACCATCATCCGCGTGGCGCTTTCCTGTCTTGTTTATCTCCAGATTGCTCAGATTCTCGAAACTGCACAAGTCTACTATTTTCTGTACTGCCCCAAATTGTTCTTCGTCCGAGCTAAAAGGGTAGCCCATAAACTCTGCTAGTTTTTTTACATACAACACAGAATCGTTTAACATGTCTTCATATTTCAGGAACATTACCTTGTCTGGCCGTTCCTGGCTAGCTTTCCAGTACTCTAAAATATGGTCCCAACAGGGTCCAAAAACAGACTTCCCTTCACAGAAGAGATGAAAAGCCTCCTCCAGGGAAATGGGTTCGATTTCTTTGGGTCTCCGCTTGGCTGCGAAATGAAACATGGAAACGAATGCATCCTTTGGTTCTCTACAGATGTAAACAATCTTACAATGATCAGAAGAACAATCCAAGACAGATTTTGGCAAGGAAGGGTAGGGAGCATTGGTGGCTATGAGTGGGACTCCCGGCTCACGTATATCCGCCTTCTGCCCGAAACCCACAAAGGTTGGCACACAGTGATGGGGACCCTTGGTGAGCAAAGGGCTGCTGGAATTATCAAAAAGCTTTCGAGTCACAATGCAAAAGTCACAGCCTTGAGCCAAGTTGTGCCGCTTTTGGGGGCACTGCAAACAAAGATATCACCTGGTTTAGGCTTGAAATGCTGCTGAGCTAATATGATGCCTTCCAGGAAATGAGGGAAGCTCCAAAAGCCTTGATATAAGCAAAGAGGCTGGAAGGCTCTCCACCCATTCTCTGCGGGAAGGGTTGACATGAACTCCCTAACTCTTTCTACTTTCTCCGGGGATACTTCTTCCTTGTCCAAGGAATCAGCTGCACCACTGGGTTCCATACCAAGGAGTTGTCTCAAAGGGAAATTCTAGTTTGGCAATGCTTATAGTAAGGTGTCTATATTTTAGTTCGACAGTGTTGCTCGTCCAGATTTAAGGTCGAAATGTTGAGAATTAATTATCATGTTAAATAGCATCTAAACAAATTGTCAATAACATTTGAATTCATGATCGTTAAGTGCAATGGATGATCGTGTAACTCTAAGTAGCTAATAGGGTTGTAGTCTAACCAGTTGACTAGTTAACTAAAAATATTGTAGTATAATTATATCATTGAATTATTGAATTTGTACAATTATTTTAAGACTCTCCTTCAAATTTGTCAACTTGGGTTTGGAAACCAAATCAAACTAAAAATTGACACCGACCAATGACTACATGACATAGTGGAACACCTAATAGAATAAATGACAAAATACTTCACAAAATAGAATATGTGGTGAAATACGTGATATATAAAGAAATAAAATATATCATAAATAAATAATTTATAAATTAATGACATGATTAAACACGTAATAAATGATGTCGTAAAATAAGTTGCATAACAAATTACGTGCAAAACATAACGTGGCATAATATATGTTGGTTTTTTTTGTCTATAATAAATGCAAAAATTTTATTTATACTTCAATAACAATTATCGTCATCAAATATAAAGTAAAACATCTATCACAAGAAAAGTATAGATTAATATTCATGGATTTCAAAAACAATTCAAGTACCTTGTCTAAAAAAAGATTAAATTATAGATAAAAAATACAAGTACTTCAAAAACGATTTAAGTGTATCGCCTCTCATTTCTAACAGAATTCACACTTGTTTCATTTTTAGGGTTCTCTGTCTTCTAAAAACTGCCAATTAAGTAGCAATATACAATTGAACTTGGATCCATTAGACCTAATCATAATCTAACAAGACTTATTATATATTAAACTCAAAAAAAGAATATGCATGGGTCCCTAGAAATCTCTACCTACACTTATGGACCCAAGTCCATGTCATCTCATGACAATTTCATTTAATTTAACATTATCATTTAGTTTTTTAAATTAATTAAGAAAGTTTATTTACCCATTAATTATAATAATGTCCATCAACACATTGCAACTGACCTCTGCAAAAAAAAAAAATATCAATGAAGTTCCTTTTATTTTAACTTTTACTAATTAGTCCTTTCATCATATTATATTCCTCATGGCTCTATGAATAAATAATTTCCGCAACCACATCCAACTCATGCAATACTAATTCATAATTCTCATTTTTGTTGGACTTCAAAAAATATTTTTCTTCAAAATATTAATATATAATATTAATATAAATACTATAATTCTAAAACACTTTTAGAAAACATACCAACCGGATTTCTTGAGTCTAATAATTTTAAGAAAATCACTTGAATATCTTTTTAAATAGAGAATGGTGAATCCTTTAATGAGCATCCAATATGATTTATTTAGTATGTACATAACCCAACATACCAAGATATTAGCTTTAAATTTAACATCACATATTGGTAACATCAAAGTCATATAAATACTAAATAAATTATTTAGACTTCTCAAGTCTAAGGATAATTAATAAATTGTAATAGAACGTTTGTTTATTTATTGATAGTGATAGACTTATATGAAGCTCTTTAATTGAACTTGTTCGATGTATGTATCTCATTCACTATACTTACTTGTTTGCTTTAAAGTCACTATCTCAATGCTAGAGTTAAAACATTCTATTTTTTTTATAAAGGTTTGGCAAGTATAGTCTTTAAACAATTTATCACATTTAGTCTAAAACAATTTTAACAAACAAGGAACTAAAAAATCAGAACTCTTTACTTAATAGTTCATCAACTATTACCATAGTTTTTTAACAATGTTATCAAATAATTTATAATTATATCATATATATCATAAATAAATAAAATATTTATTAACATATAATATATATGAAATTAATAATTAATGCAATACTTCATTTATTTAATAAAATAAATAATAAAATTGCGTTTTAAAAACATATATCTAACCATATGACCGTACATGTCGCAGATAGTTGATATGTCAAATAAATTGTCAATACATGGACAATCGACACGCGAAATAACAGTTGCCTACATGTGAGACACGTGAAACGAGGATCGTCGATAATTAAAATAACTCTTATACCATGTTATAAGAATAATAAAATATTGCATGTTAAGCGTAAAAAAAAATAGACATGTATTATGAAAAGTGTATCAAACTGGGTGGCCGAGGTACTAACCTACAATTGGTACGTTGGTGGGAATTTTCATTTTCCCTCTGTTGAACAGAAAAAAGTAAAAATTTCATGGCTGTCATTATGAATGGCAATGAGATCAATATGTAATCATAGAAGTGAGGAGTACTCCTCTGCCATGGAAAGCGTGCTTCAAAAAATGAATGGCCAATAGTAATGAAACAAATTTTCAAAAAGATCACATGCCCATCATCCGCAGCAACTGCAGGCAACTACTCACCATGTGAACTAGAATTGAAATATATGTAAGCTTTTGTCTCGAATTTTCAGCATAATTATATATATATATATCATTGGAAATCTAAGTTTTGTTACCAGTTTATTCAATGGCTCAATGCTCCTTACCTTAGGATTTGAGATTTAAGATATGAATTTTTCTCTCTCTCTCGAGATATTCTTAAATGAAGAAAAAATTTTCAATTAGAATTTTATTTTTATTTTCATTAACAAATCATGCTTTATGTAATAAAGTTAGTAGAGATGGCCAACATTAAAGTTTAGGTTTTCTTGGGTGTTATTTCCACAATTTATTTTTAATTGTTTTTTTTTTATTTTGAGAAGAGAGTTAAATCCAACTCTCTGAATAGAGCATACATGCATCCGTCAAGCACAAGCTCGACCTAACTCGTTTTTTAATTATTATTATTTTAATAAAATAATATTTTATATTTATATTTTAAAATATATTATTTATTAACAAAAAAATTAATGAGGTTCTATTCAAACTTAAAAATTTATATCCAAATTTAACATGAGCTGGGTTGGCTTGCAAGTTTAGATAAACAAATATTTGTACATAGAAACAAAAATATATTTACACTTTTAAAATAAGAATTTTTAAAATTAATAAAAAATATTTGAAATTTTTATATTTTTAATTAATGATATTTACATTTTTAAAATAAATTGTTTTTTTAATATTAATACATTTGCATAAAATTATATCTAAAAATTAAAAATAAGGTATTTTACGCTAAAACTAAAACATCCAAAGGTTACAGGTCACATTCACACTATGTCGGATATCAGGCTGACACGGTCGATAGTCATCACCATAAATAATGAATAGTAAATAATCATACTAGTGCGCCTGCAGAAATATAATGACGTCAGAGATTCCCGAATGATTTTATGCGCTGAAAAAGCAAACACGGTAACAAATTTGCCATGGATAATTGAGCCAAGTCAAATCATTTTTTCTTTTAATTTTGTTATATAAATATTTTTGAGTTTGTTAATTATTGATGTGACAATAATGATTATTGTATTGTATTTATATAAATATATATTTTTAATTGTATAAAAATTATGAAATATTTATTCATAAATTTATAGAAGCATATGCTTGCCATTTTAACGTTCATTTATACAACAGTTGCCGCCGATGGGATTCTTGTCTTTCTTCTTTTGGTTTTACTAGCTATAATTTATCCTTCTCCGTCATCACATGGCACTCTGCGGTACCTCCGAAATCGGTGCCTTGAAAACCTGTGAGGTAGAAAATGGCCCTCCAAAAGAGCCAGCAGGATACAACGAGATCATATCCACTCTTCCTAGCGAAAATGGGTGGAAAGTTTTCCAGCATCTTTGCTTTTACCAAAGCTTCTGGTGCTTCCCTCTCCACCTTGAAGGAGCCATGTATGCTCAACATCATTTCAAGGCTCAGCCAACTGATGTTTTCTTGTGCAGCGCTCCCAAGACTGGTACGACTTGGCTTAAGGCCCTGAGTGTCTCAATTGTAACCAGAAACAGTACTGCCGATAACATCAAGAACCTTTTGCTCAACAAGGTTCCCCATGACTGCATTATGTTCCTGGAAAAAGATTATATCAAGAAGCCAACTGATCAGGAAAGACTACTCCCTCTTGTAGCCACGCACCTTCCTTACGCTGCCTTGCCTAAATCCATACTCGATGCAGGTTGTAAAATTGTTTACATCTGCAGGGATCCTAAGGATGCATTTGTTTCCCTGTGGCACTTTGCAAGGGGTATAAAACTCAACAACAACCCAAATCTCCCAACTGATGTGGCGTTTGACTTGTACTGCAAAGGGAGATCAAATTTTGGTCCCTATTGGGACCATGTTTTGGGGTACTGGAAAGCAAGCCAGGAAAGCCCAGAGAAGGTCCTGTTCATGAAATATGAGGATTTGTTGGGTGACACCATCAATCAGGTGAAGAGACTGGCTGAATTCCTGGGGCGCCCTTTCTCCACAGAGGAAGAAAAACAAGGCGCAGTGGAGAAGGTCATCAGGCTGTGTAGCCTGGAAAATTTGAGCAACTTGGAGGTCAACAAGACTGGAAAATATGGGGATGCCGAGAAGGGGATTGAAAACGCTGTGTACTTTAGAAAGGGGAAGATCGGAGACTGGAAAAATTATCTGACACCCGAGATGGGAGACCAACTCGACAACATCATGGAAGAAAAGCTAAGTGGATCAGGGTTCACATTTCGTGAACCTACCCACTGAAAACTAGTAGCACAATGTCGCATTGAATAAATCAGAGTTTTGGTGGCTCGAATAATGCTTGCAGCAGCTTGCAAGACCTAGTTAGAGTTAAGTTCTGCCTAATGCATTTTCAACGTGTCCTTGAACTTGCAACCACTTTTTGAACTAAAAATCCACTGCATTTCAACGTGGTGTTGAAATTGCAAGGTTTGAATTAATCGATTCCCCGTGTTAAGTTATTGTCCATCACATTGCATTTTCAACCTGGTGTTGAAATAGCAATATCGTTGTATTAAGTAATGAAGTTTGAATAAAGATCCGAGAATGTCTGTTACTAATGTTTATGAATTATGATAAATGCAAGCTCTCCAAAGTTGTTTGTGGGTTTTTTTTTTCTTTTACATATTTGTAAACAATTAAATATTTTATTTAGAATTGTTTTTTCATTGATTATTGATATTATATTAACTCTCAATATTTTTTAAAGAATTGTTTCTATTAAGATTTTTATTATTATATTTTTTAATTTCTATTTGTTAATAATTTTATTTAAAAATTTAGATTATTGTTATTATTAAATTATTTATGATTATAATAATTAATTCTTTTAAATAAATTATTAAGGTTGATTTATTTGAATAATTTTTAAAATTTATTTATATAATTTTGATATAAATTTTTTTATTTAATTTACTTTATATTTTTGTCAAAAATTATACTTTTGATATAATTGTTTTATAACGTCATATTTTACCCTGTACCCTGAAAAGTGAAATCCTGACGCCGCCGCTGATTGTAGGAGAGAAACCATTTTCCATTACCTCCTGGATGGAGCAGGACGAACTGAGAATATAATGTTAGGTTTGTTTCTTTCTCGCAGATGAGCCAAGTCATAAATATGGCATTCTTGTTCTTTCACAATTAAAGCGTCAGTGGATGGTTGGTAGTAAAAGCAGGCAGCGAGCAGCATGCCACGACAATGGTGCAGGGTATAGTGTTGTCCATTTCAGTGCTCTCGTCCCCTACAGCTGTAGACATCTCAAAGCCATGGTGTGGAACAGGAAAATGACACCTCTTTGGGGAAAAATTTGTAGTAGGACCGGTCTTACTATGAAGATATATAATAGAATTTAAAATAAAAAAAAAACTTGTAAAACAAGTTAGCAAGTAAATAACGTAAGTAAAATATATTCTCATTCATTTTTTGTGTTAAATATTATGAGGTTTTTATTTTTAATCACTCTTTTATATTAAAATTAAAAAACTATAATTTTTTTAATATTAGTATTAGAATTAATTACTTTAAATAAATTAAACTCGTTATTTTAAAATATTTAAATGCTAAATTATAATTTCAACTCTAGATAATGGTTACGAATAAATTTAATTGTGATTGTAATTTATACAAGGATATGACAGAAAAAAAAATAAAACTTCCATGGAAACTCTTATCCATTTGCTTTACTTAAAAAAACATATATATATATATATTAATATTAGATTAAAATGCAAGCTAAATAAATAAGAATATTAGAAATTCAATAAAAAAAATAATGCAAAATTCGCTCTGTCAAACCTCTGCTGCAAAGCATAGAAATCAAGGGAGGGATAACCGATTTCAATTTTTGCTTTAGATTTCTAAGTGAAAACTTAAATTCATTGAGTTTCAATTTTAGCCATCTAATAATTAAAGAGAAATGGCCTTTAATGCTCGAAAATTCAAAGCCCCGTAAATGAGCAATTTATTTGTGTCCTTTCCATTGCCGAATCTCTAATAAATTATCTCTGTGAAGGTGAGTCAAAAGTCTTATTATTCTCCATATGACTCTATAAGGATTGACACTTGATTGCCTATGTTTGGCAACGTTGCACTCAACACACAAGTACCAGCAAATGAAAATAGGCAACAGTAGTAGAATATGCTCCTTTTTGGTATAATCTCCCGAATGGTACCAAGCCCATAGGATTTGCACAATACTAGTAGGTTGCATAATAATTATTTGAAATATTTTAATCGGACATCAACAAGAATCCATTCATGCAATAATCTCCATATGAAGAATGAGATATTACGAGGAATACTTTTAAGCCATATAAGATTTCTTGTTTGTATTCTTCTCCAAAGTAGACAGATTACCTTTTGTAAAAATGATGACATCATTTGCAAAGGAACATTCAGAAGAATAACGAAGGGAGGGATATCAACATAAATTTATCTATATATATAATTAATAGTTTCGTTATTCAACCAATTCGAATAGAAAATTAAACCTTGTTAATCGATTGATTAATTCAATGAGATTGAATTTTTTAATAAAAAATCAAAATGCAATAACTAAATTAAAATAATTGAGTTACGATAATTCAAATCTTCGATTTTGATCGACTAACGCTCTCCCTTAACCTTAAGGATGAGCAAGAACATCTATGCTTCTTCTCAAGAGCCGTTACAATTTGAAAGCTTGAAATTCAAAGAAAAGCAATTAGAGGCAAAGATTGTCCCATTGGGCCTGCAAGAAATTAACACACAAATTTCGTATTAAAAAGAAGGTCAAGAAAATTTGGAAATAAACAACAATTGACATAATATTTTAAAAATTCCTAAACTATTTATATAAATTCAAATAAATCTTTATATTTTTATTATGTTGAATCAAGCCATTTTACTTTTATTGTCATAATGGCAAATTGATGTGAAATGGGGACATGGTCTGTATTTTTCACATTTTATATCAATGCTATGTGGGTATAAAATAATAAGACACATTTATATTAATAACTATTAATCAACTATTAGTTATAAAGATTTGTTTGACTTATAATAAAACTATAAAATCTTAATTAAATACAATAAAAAAATAATAACTTATTTAAATATTTTTTAATAATTTAAAGGCTTTTCGTACATTATGCCATAACAATTTTATTGATTAGAAATGAAATTACAATCTTTGAAACTTTTTCAAAATAACAAAAAATTATTGTCTTCATCTTCTTTTTTTCAATAAATCCACTTTAAAAGTTTAAACTAGACTTGATCTGAAATGAACAAAGATGACTTCGATCTTAATCTTCTCCTCATCAAGATTCAATTCGTTAGAGTTTGAGAATTTAGAGAGCTTGAGTCTTCAAAATCTTCTTCTTCCTCTCCTCTCAAATGTGTTTTAAATGACTTGAAAGAGCACTAGAATTTTATTGAAACTTCCTTTCTTTGATTTTATCTCTAAATCTTTTAATTTAATTAGAAATAAAACATGATAATTCATAATTGGATTTTGATTGGTTAAATTCTTACTCTTTATGTTATAATCGATCGAATTTGAATTTTATCTTTACATTATTTTAGTTTATTTAAATATAAATTAGATCACTCATGTGGAAATTTTAATCAATCATACTATGATCTTTGATGTTAATTAGTCAAATCTTGTGTATTTATCTTAAATTAGTCAAAAAATTAGTTATTTTATAATTAATTATATAACTAGCTTAAATGATATCATCAAATCCACAACACAATACATGATTAGTTTTTGAAAACTTTTTTAATTAACTAATTAAAATAAATTTCAAAAAAATGTAACATCTTGTAGTTGGGTGAAATTTTCTCCAATATATATATATATATATATATTGTATTGTATTGAGGACGCTGTCTGGGATATATTTTATTTTTAATTTTAGTTGTTAACCAATAACAAAATACTATGAAGGTTAATTGTGAAAAAGACTAAGTTAAATAAAGTAATGAGTTAGTGTATGATAATTGTTATTATTTTTTAATTACTTTTATTATGAACGATAAATATCAAACATATTGTAATTGAACTAAATTTGATATTTCATCTTTTTTTTTTTTACATATAACTTACAAACTTAATTGGAATCCCATCAATTTATCCATTTCTTAGTGGGCTGATCGAACAAGATAGCAGACCTTAATTCCTGAACTGGGCCATCCAGCCCATTAAACAAAAAGAAGCTCCCTCCTTTGCTTTTCCCTTCAACTCGATCCTTCCATTGTTCCCCTGTTTATCTGCAAAATAAAAACCAAACATAAAATTACAAAATTCCAATTCTCCCCCCCAAAAAAAAAACCGACTTTCTTTTAAATCAAAGCCCAGGTAAGAAACCAAAATTCTTATTGATTATCATAATTTATGGTAGATGCTTTCTTTTTGTTTTTTGGTTAGTTCTAATTAGTGTCAAAATTCTATTCTTTTTACAATCATTTTTGTTTACCAAGGTCAATAGCTGACTAGGTTTCTGGCTTTTTAAGTTTGTGGGGGATTTTTCTTGAGATGGGTCCTATTTATATATTTTTCTAAGTATGTTTTTCTTAAGGCGTGTTTTTGGAAACAATCCCATTTGATTTCCCAGGAGTTTTTCTTCTGATTGATACAATATTAGTGTTGCAGTTCTGCATGGGTGTTTTGTATTTGCTTTTAAGTTTGTTTATTGGTGTGTTTTAGTTCATGAAAATGCAATGGCTTGTAGAGTTGTTGTTCTATGTTCAATGCCTGTCATTCATGAGTGCTTTCTTTTAGAGGAGGGTAAGGTATTGAGTGCTTGTTGTCTCACCTATGTTATGCTTCTTATAATGGAAAATAGGCTGTGGCTATGCCCCTCCTGTAAACTCCATAAACCCCAAGCCTTCCCTCGAGGCTGAAAGATTTGAACTTCTGGCCTTCAAGTTCTAACTGTTAGAACGTCCCTGAGAAGAAACCCTGCAATCATTTGTTTGTTCTGTTGTTTCCTAAGACTGGATAGGCAATGTACTTATCTATTCCAATCCTCATAAAATGTTGTAAGCTTTTTTTTTTTTGTTTTTACTTCTCATACTGTGTAATGACAACATGATTTGTGAATATTGTAAACCACACTGATTCTGTTGAAAGCTAGTTAGTTATAAGGCATTAATTCCTGAAGGAAGTTTATCACATTAATTCCTGACAAAATGATAACTGTTTTCATTGTAATGTTATTATAGGTACAAATGAAACTTTTCATAAATCTTTTTATTTCAATGTTCGTTAAGCAGATTACTGGCATCTGCAAAACATTGCAGGAAACCTAATGTCTATTTTAGGGATCCCATTCTATAATTCAGAGTAATATGTTCATGTGTTAATAATTCAAAAAGCTGCTTCTGGGTTCCATGAAGCTGAATGCATCTATGAAGAATGGTCAAGTTACCAGTGCAATGAACCTGGATTTTCTTAGTTTTGATTGGTTTTCTGTAGGTATCATTTCATATGATACGATTTATTTTTGAAGGTATCTCCTCTGCACTTCTTAGCTAGTGTAGGAGTAGAATTATTTTTGCTTATTTTAGTAATGGATTAGTCACCTACTCATGCCCTAGATAAATTCTGTTTTCTTATGACATTTTACTTTTTAACAATTAATGACAGTATAAAAGAAACTTTTCATTTTAGTTTGGTGCATGGTTGATGTTTGGGGAAATTTTGTGCTGAAACAAAACTGAAGTATGGTGAATGAAGAAAAAAGGAAACATGTAACAACAATGGGATAATAAAATATATGTCTAGGCACCACATGAACATGAAATTATGGTTGATTTGATGATTAAGGTGTTCTATATGTGCTTCAAATAATGGAACATGGAGTTGGTGCTCTATGTCAAATGAAATTATCTTGTCTCTCTGTCCCATGTATATTGTCTTGTTTTAATATTTTTGGTCAAATTTTTTCACCTTTGACTCTATTTTATTTTCAAATGATTATTTATTAAAATTTTAAAAATATCCATTAAAAACTATGAATAAAGTAGTTTTCAAATGTATGCTTTTTAAAATTTATTTTGATAAATATTTAAAATAATTTAATTGAAAGTTGTAAAAATATAAACAGGACAATATATAAGGGATGGAGGAAGTAATTAATTCTGAAATACTTAAATGCTTTCTTTTTCTCAGTGTTTATGTTCTTTGTGTAGTAATTTTGGTTTGCAATTAAAGATGAAGAAAAAATAAATAAACAAAGAGGTCTTTGTGGGTCCTCATAATTTGATTTTGTGCTGGCATTATATCTCTCATTGTTTATGATTGTGTAAACGTTTGATGTTTTTCTTTCCTTTTTTCTTTTTTTCCCTTGTCATTCTTGCGATATTGAATGATTTTAGCATATTTCCTGGTATGTTATCTAACAGGTGTCTGCTAATGGTGAAATCAAAGCAAAGGCAGTTAGCAACAAAGCATGCAAACAAGACAAATGCTCAAAGTGGCAGCTTGGACTCTTTGAACCCCAACATTGAGTTGGACCTGCTTGGAGAAGATGGATGGGTTATAGTTAAAAAGCAGAGAGTCACCATTCTTATACCACCATTGCCTGTGGCTACAAAGTCAAAAATTACAAACCAGGGACCTGGTCAATTAGAAGCGATGCCTGGAAAAGAAGTGGAGGACCAACCAAGGCTCTCTGTTCAGACATGTCCCAAGTTGCCATCTGGGAATGGACAAGAGAAGTCCACTTCATCGGCTCATAGAAAGGGTATTGAAATTACTAGATCTCCTCCTCAACACATTTTAACTTTAGCCAGGTCTCCAGCTCAAGGTGTTAGAGCGGAGCCAGAAATTCCAAGTCAAGTGGTTACTTTAAAATCTCATAACATACACAGAGTGCCTGAAGCCTCAAAAACTATCAGGAGGCCGAGATCAATGCATTCCCCAAGTGTTCCCATTATTGGGAGCATGTTACTAAACCGAAGGCTGAGGGTGTCAAATCTTGAGAGGAAGCTTCAACAGGCTGGTGGGTTGAGCAGGTGGCTGACATCTCTAGGACTAGGTCAGTTTGTAAGGATTTTTCAGGCCAAAAGTGTCAATAAATTTCAGTTGGTGAATCTAAATATGCAAAAGCTTAAAGATATGGGTGCAGATGCGGTTGGTCCCAGGAGAAAGTTGATCCATGCTATTGACTGTGTCTGTCAGCCATTTTGCTTTGAGGCCATATAGATATACCAGGAGCTAGTTGCAATAGCTGAATTAGAAGGGAGAAGTTGAAGAATGGAGCAGTTTGAACTTGTTTTTTTTTTTTTTGGTAGATATTGAGGTTGTAACCACAGCAATTTGACACAAGGGAGTGAGAGCTTATATTGCAGCTATCCTCTACGGGCTGCATGTATTTTGAGACAATTACTTGGGTTAGATATCAACTAACCAGGTTGGAAATGATGACTTTATTGTGTTCCAAAATTTAATAAGCAATTTGTACATGATCCAGGCCCAAATCAAAAGGGTTACTCCAAGATGTGTAGAGGAGATATATACAGTCAACTTTACGTGGCTCATCAGCTGGAAATCCTTCTTGACTTGTCAGCCTGCATTTCAAATTTTTACTATGTTAAGGACCGAGCATACAAACCAAGGAAATTTTACCAGTTTTCTGTCCTTACTACCTGCTGTATCTAATCCGGAATCCAACTCCATTCGCAAAACTTTCCGAGACAGTCGCAGGTCCTTTAACTTTGCAAATTTCTTCGGTTTGTTTGGTTGAGATACAACTCAAACTCATCCTAATTTCCATGGTTAAGACATTGTTGTGGCATCTCTCAATGCGTCAGCCATGTCAAAGCAGGGTTTTTTTTTTTTTCTTGTTTTCACAGTTTTACGGTTTTTCCATTTTCTAAATAACAACATAGTACAAATTAAGCCGTTCATGTCCTATCTTGCAGAGGCACAAAAATAAAAATACATAAAAATCAGAGTTTCTTTTTCCTTGCTTCCCTTTATTGGCTTTCATTTTGCATTCGATCAAATCTGTGGAGTCCAATCATGGCTCAAACTAGTGTCATGGATTTAGTTGACAAAATTAGCCCATCACCTTACTGACATAGCTGCATGAAATTTCGGAATTCTGTAAAAAAATGGTAAGATTCCTTAGTTATTAGATCTACCCTACTGTTTTGTCTCATTGGACATCCATCCCAATCTCTTCATTGGTTGAAGAATTGGTCTCAAACTCTCAATCTCGTTCTTTCAAGTTCTTTACCGCTTGAGAACAGCAACGCGGCATTAACAGTCCGAGCCAGGGTGGCCTAGGTCTCCTGGTGTGCCACGGAACTGGTTGAAAGTTGAACCCTGTTTTTCTGTCTATCTGTCCACAAACTAAAAAACCAGACCCAAAGAAACCAGGAAGTTTCTGTCAAACTACAAAAGAAAAAAAAAATGGAGGAGAAAAATTCTGATAGAATCCCCTTGATCAATCCATCGCCATCAACCGCAACAGATGGAACTGCATCCAAACTTCAAACTATAGGGAACATCATAGTTTCAATAGTTGGAACTGGCGTTTTGGGCCTTCCTTTTGCTTTTCGAATCGCTGGTTGGCTTGCTGGATCAATTGGTGTTATCCTTGCTGGCTTGGCCACTTATTACTGCATGCTCCTCCTTGTTAGTATCAATTCTTTCCTTCTTCTATATTGCCTTGTTTGTGTCTTGGTTAAACTGGTGTTTATATCTTGCAAAATGTTTCTCAGGAAACATGAACTTCATTGTCTTAAGAACATTTAGCCTGGATATTTGGTTAATTTCTCTTGGGGAAAGATATTTAGTGCCCAAAAGAAAAGAAGTTATGTTTTCGCTTGGATATTTGGTTAATTGCTCTTGGGGAAACATATTTAGTGCCAAAAAGAAAAGATGTTTTGTCTGTATAAATTGAATTTTGTATAGAACCCTGGGCATAAAATTTAAGTTCCTGCTGGTGGTCGGAGTGGTGTGCTTTAATATAAGCATACACAAAATTTGATGGGCTTATGTTTATCCAAGAATTAAACTTTTTACTCTTTCTTTATTCTTCCTTTTCTTATTGAAAGGTTGCTTTTAACTTTGGTCTACAGGTGCAGTGCAGGGATAGATTAGCATCAGAAAAAGAATTACCAGGAACAACAACATATGGTGACTTGGGTTACAGGTGCATGGGAAGGCCAGGCCGTTACCTGACAGAATTTCTCATTTTCATCTCCCAATGTGGAGGATCCGTAGCATACTTGGTATTCATTGGCCAAAACCTTGCATCAATTTTCAAAGGCCATGGCCTCACTATTGGATCTTACATATTCTTGTTAGTCCCAATTGAAATTGCACTCTCTTGGATTGGCTCCCTCTCTGCCTTTGCACCATTCAGCATATTTGCCGATATATGCAATGTGTTAGCAATGGGGTTTGTTGTTAAAGAAGATATACAACAGGCAATTGGGGGAGATTTTTCGTTTAGAGATAGGAAAGCCATCACTGATAACATAGGAGGGTTACCATTTGCAGGAGGGATGGCAGTGTTCTGTTTTGAGGGGTTTGGAATGACACTGGCTCTGGAGGCATCTATGAAAGAGAGGAGGACATTTCCTAAGTTGTTAGCCATGGCTTTTACATGGATCACTCTTGTCTATGTTTTATTTGGGATTTTTGGCTACATGGCTTATGGAGATGAAACAAAAGATATTATAACGCTAAATCTTCCCAAGAATTGGACAGTCATTGCAGTCCAGGTAATTTACACAAATCTTTTACATTGCTGATTGTGCTTCTCATTTGTTTTTGTGCCTCTTCACATCTATTTTTCAGGTACAGCTTTAGATCTTAGAAACTTATACAACTTAAATGTTCATACTCAGTAACTTTTTCATAATGCAGAAAGCCCTGTTGTCCCCACCAACCCACCCCTAAGTTAAGAAGCTTAATTTATTCTTTAGTGACATCTTCAGAAATTATAACTGGTTCTCGGCATCTGTTGCCACACAAAAAAACTGCCCTGCTTATGTCTACTTTGTCATTATCTCATAATTTTTAGATTGCTGCTATTGGAACTTGTGAGAGTGGTTGTCTTTTGCATGTAATTATGTCATTCTAGAGCATATAATATTGATAGAAAGATTTAGTTGGATCATCTTAATGGGTATTGCAGGTTTAAAGAGACCAAAAAGATTGTTGTAGTTTAGACTCAAGTATCATGACTTAGGTCTTAATCTTTTGTGCTAGTGACAGGGAAAGCAGGCTGGTCGTAAGTCCTTTCCAGTTAATAATAAAATTTCAAAGTTATGCCAGGCATATAAAAATGGTGAAAACTGTGATGTCATAGGTCTCTGAATTATAATTTTTTTTTAATTTACTTCAAACTTTTGAAGCATAATAATTTTAACATCTCATCTTCTTTAATCCTACATCTGCTGCTTCACTTAGTAAAAGTAAAAGCTGAATATGTGCTCACTGACAACAGATCGGCTTGTGCCTGGGGCTAGTATTTACATTCCCAATCATGGTACACCCTGTTAACGAAATCCTGGAGGGGAAGTTGAAGAAAAATTTATGGCTTCAGAAGCTTCACGACAATGATGCTGAAAGTTCACTTACAAGATTAGGAAAGTTTGGAATATGCATCAGTCGGGGAGTACTGGTAATTGGGTTGGCAGTCTTGGCATCATTCGTTCCGGGGTTTGGTGTATTTGCCTCTCTTGTTGGGAGTACTGTATGTGCACTAATCTCATTTGTTTTGCCAGCCTCTTTTCACCTGACATTGTTGGGTTCATCCTTGAGTTTCTGGCAGAAAGCCTTGGATTTTTGCATTTTGTTGTGCGGATTGCTTTTTGCGGCTTATGGTACTTACAACACCATAGTCGGAGTCTGAAAATATCTTGGTTTCAGAAGATTCCAAATAAAAAATTTTAGCGTTTCAATTAGATTAATGGACAACAACATGCTTATGAAGTTGTCTAGAAAATCTTGGATTAATGGCAGAAAGCCATGGATTGTTTCATTCTGTAGTGCGGATTGCTTTTTGCAGCTTATGGAACTTATAACACCATAGTTGGAGCCTGAGAAAATTCTTGATTTCAGAAGAGTTTGAAATCGAAAAATCAGTTCTTTGATTGGATTAATAGACAAGATATCATGAACCTGTAAAAGTATGCAGGTTTAATGGCAAGACAGTCAACATTTTACCAATGCAGTTGTATTATTTCTTCTACTTCCTATTTTGCTGAAGGAAATATGTTAATATGCAGATGAATAGATTTTGCTATTTGTTATATACTCTATTCGCTTTTCAATTTATTGTCAATGATTGAATTCTTTATTAGTATTTGCTTTTGTTTTTCTCCTACCATGTAGTTATTTCGCCAGAGAAGTATAAAATCTGAATGCTTTATTTGCAATGTTGATCAAGGTTTACTGTTTCATGTTGTTTACTATGAATTTATCTCCTATGGTGTTGAAAAGCAAAGGTGCTTTCCATGTCTAAGATGTGATAATTGTGAGGTCATTTATATGAAAAATATTGAATCGGTCCACCTATCTATCCTTGCTAGCTGGGTATGGTAACCTTATTGGCGCTGGACAGGTTAACTTGAGCTAGAAAGATACTACTATATGCCATTTTTTGCAGACGTATCCCTGATAATGAATTTTCCATGTCTGTGAATATGTTCATTAGTGATCGATAAGCAAATATGCCGTCACTCTCTCTCTTCCCTTTTCTTTGTTTTTTCTTTTATATATAGTTCTGTCAAACTTTAGCAGAATTCACAACTTTGCAGGCCATAAACTTGTGGTTTGAATAAAGGCATGGTGCTCTCAGAAGTTTTT